CTCATCTCTGATAAAATAGACTTTAAAGCAACAAAGATCAAAAGAGACAAAGAAGGAGATTACATAATGGTAAAAGGATCGATGCAACAAGAAGAGCTAACGATCCTAAATATATACCCACCCAATACAGGAGTGCCAAGATATATAAGGCAAGTTTTTAATGACTTACAAAGAGACTGAGACTCTCATAAAATAATAGTGGGAGACTTTAACACCCCATTGTCAATATTAGACAGATCAACCAGACAGAAAATTAACAAGGATATGCAGGACTTGAACTTAGACCTGGAACAAGCAAATCTAATAGACATTTACAGAACTCTCCACACCAAATCCACTGAATATACATACTTCTCAGCACCACATCACACCTACTCTAAAACTGACCACATAATTGGAAGTAAATCACTCCTCAGTAAATGCAAAAGAACGGAAATAATAACAAACAGTCTCTCAGACCATAGTGCAATCAAGTTAGAACTGAGAATTCAGAAACTAACTCAGAACCGCACAGCTTCACGGAAACTGAACAACTGGCTCTTGAATATTGAATGGATAAACAATGGAATGAAGGCAGAAACAAAGAAGTTCTTCAAAACCAACAAGAACAAAGACACAACATACCAGAATCTCTGGGACACATTTAAAGCAGTCTCTAGAAGAAAATATATAGCAATAAGTGCCCACATGAGAAGCAAGGAGAGATCCAAAAAGGACACCCTATCGTCAAAATTGAGAGCTAGAGGAGCAAGATCAAAAAACCTCAAAACCTAGCAGAAGACAAGAAATAACTAAGATCAGAGCAGAACTGATGGAGATAGAGACACAAAAAACTCAAAAAAATCAATAAAACCAGGAGCTGGTTTTTTGAAAAGATCAACAAAATAGACAGACCACTAGCCAGTTTGATAAAAAAGAAAAGAGAGAATAACCAAATAGATGCAATAAAAAATGATAAAGGGGATATCAATACAGATTCCACAGAAATTCAAACCATCAGAGATTATTACAAACAATGCTAGGCACATAAACTAGTAAACCTGGAAGAAATGGATAAATTCCTGGACACTTGCCTCCTCCCAAGCCTAAACCAGAAAGAAGCCGAAAATCTGAACAGACCAATAACAAGATCTGAAGTTGAGGCAGCAATTAAGAGTCTACCACACAAAAAAGGCCCAGGTCCAGATGGGTTCACAGCCGAATTCTACCAGACACACAAAGAGGAGCTGGTACTATTCCTTCTGAAACTATTTCAAATAATCCAAAAAGAGGGAATGCTTACCAAATCATTGCATGAGACCAACATCATCATGATACCAAAACCCAGCAGAGACTCAACAAGAAAAGAAAACTTCAGGCCAATATCCATGATGAATATAGGTGCAAAAATCTTCAATAAAATATTGGCAAGCCGATTGCAACAGCACATCAAAAAGCTTATCCACCATGATCAAGCAGGATTCATCCCGGGGATGCAAGGCTGGTTCAACATACGCAAGTCTATAAACATAATTCACCACATAAACAGAACCAAAGACAAAAACCACATGATTATCTCAATTGATGCAGAGAAGGCCTTTGACAAAATTCAATAGCCCTTTATGCTAAAAACCCTCAATAAACTAGGTATTGACAGAATGTGTTTCAAAATAATAAAAGCTATTTATGACAAACCCACAGCCAATATCATACTGAATGGGCAAAAATTGGAAGCACTCCCTTTGAAATCTGGCACTAGACAAGGATGCCCTCTTTCACCACTCCTATTCAATATAGTACTGGAAGTTCTAGCCAGAGCAATCAGGAAAGAAAAAGAAATAAAGGGTATTCAAATACGAAAGGAGGAAGCCAAATTGTCTCTATCTGCAGATGACATGATTGTATATCTAGAAGACCCCCTTGTCTCAGCTCAAAATCTCCTGAAACTAATAAGCAACTTCAGCAAAGTCTCAGGATACAAAATCAATGTGCAAAAATCACAAGCATTCCTATACACCAATAACAGACTTAAAGAGAGCCAAATCAAGAATGAACTGCCATTAACAATTGCTGCAAAGAAAATAAAATACCTAGGAATACAACTAACAAGGAACGTAAAGGACCTCTTCAAGGAGAACTACAAACCACTGCTCAACAAAATAAGAGAGGACACAAACAGATGAAGAAACATTCCATGTTCATGGTTAGGAAGAATCAATATGGTAAAAATGGCCATACTGCCCAAAGTAACTTAAAGATTCAATGCTATCCCCATCAAGCTACCAATGACCTTTTTCACAGAACTGGAAAAAACCACCTTAAACTTCATATGGAACCAAAAGAGAGCCCAAATAGCCAAGTCAATTCAAAGCAAAAAGAACACAGCGGGAGGCATCACACTACCGGACTTCAAACTATACTACAAGGCTGCAGTAATCAAAACAGCATGGCACTGGTACCAAAACAGAGATATAGACCAATGGAACAGAACAGAGGCCTTGGAGGCAACACAACGTATCTACAACCATCTGATCTTTGACAAACCTGACAAAAACAAGCAATGGGGAAAGGATTCCCTGTTTAATAAATGGTGTTGGGAAAACTGGCTAGCTATGTGCAGTAAGCAGAAACTGGACCCCTTCCTGACACCTTACACTAAAATTAACTCCAGATGGATTAAAGACTTAAACATAAGACCTGGCACCATAAAAACCCTAGAAGAAAATCTAGGCAAAGCCATTCAGGACACAGGAGTAGGCAAGGACTTCATGACCAAAACACCAAAAGCATTGGCAACGAAAAACAAAATAGACAAATAGGATATAATCAAACTCCACAGCTTCTGCCCGGCAAAAGAAACAGTCATTAGAGTGAATCAGCAACCAACAGAATGGGAAAAAAGCTTTGCAGTTTACCCATCTGACAAAGGGCTGACAGCCAGAATTTACAAAGAACTCAAACAGATTTACAAGAAAAAAACAAACAAGCCCATTCAAAAGTGGGCAAAGGACATGAACACACACTTTACAAAAGAAGACATACATGAGGCCAACAAACATATGAAAAAAATGCTCATCATCACTGGTCATTAGAGAAATACAAATCAAAACTACAGTGAGATACCATCTCACGCCAGTTAGAATGGCGATCATTAAAAAATCTGGAGACAACAGATGCCGGAGAGGATGTGGAGAAATAGGAACACTTTTACACTGCTGGTGGGAGTGTAAATTAGTCCAACCATTGTGGAAGACAGTGTGGCAATTCCTCAAAGACCTAGAAATAGAAATTCCATTTGACCCAGCAATCCCATTACTGGGTATATATCCAAAGGATTATAAATCATGCTACTCTAAGGACACATGGACATGAATGTTCATTGCAGCACTGTTTACAATAGCAAAGACCTGGAACCAACCCAAATGCCCATCGATGATAGACTGGACAGGAAAAATGTGGCACATATACACCATGGAATATTATGCAGCCATCAAAAACCATGAGTTCGTGTCCTTTGTAGGGACATGGATGAACCTGGAGACCATCAGTCTCGGCAAACTGACACAAGAACAGAAAATGAAATATGTTCTCACTCATAGGTGGGTGTTGAACAATGAGAACACATGGACACAGGGAGGGGAGCACTACACACTGGGGTCTGTTGGGGGTAATAGAGGAGGGATAGTGGGGGGTGGGGAGTTGGGGAGAGACAGCATGGGGAGAAATGCCAGATATAGGTGAAGGGGAGGAAGGCAGCAAATCACACTGCAAAGTGTGTACCTATGCAACTATCTTGCATGTTCTTCACATGTACCCCAAAACCTACGATGCAATAAAAAAAAAAGATTAATGAGAACAAGCTAATAGGCCTAATTTATCTGCTGCCCATAAGGACGATTTTGCCAATAACATAATCAAAGTCTTTTCAGTTCTAATCCTTGGCATCTGTGACAGCTATCAATTTATTGCCTCAGTTTCAAATCTACACTTCATTGCCCTGTATGTGATAGTGGAACATTTGCCAGATGGCATGATGTGAGCTTTATCAATAGAGGGGGTTGCAGAGGAACTGGAAGATAGGTTCTGGCATGTTCTTTGTGTTTGTTTCTGTAGCACATGGGACACCTAGCAGTGGACACCCCAATGGTTTCCAAAGACACCATCACTATGGGTAGCTTCCCAGCGAGTTCTGTACCATGTCATCTCCCCATGAGTAGCTTCTAGCACATCAGAGTGTGGCTCTCCTCAATGAGTTCTGCCAGCTTAGCACTGCAGTGGCATCTCCATCCACTGGGCTATAGCTGTGCCCTCAGCAGCAAGGCCTGGATCTCAGCCCTGGCAGGGAAGGGGAAGTTGCGGCACCCTCCTGCAGATTTGTTCCTACCTTATATGTTCTGCTTCAGCCCTAGAGACACTCTGTATCTATTATTACTATATTCTTTGGAATTTGACTTTCTGTTATAATACTTAGCAGTTAATAATTCTTAACATTAAACTTTCCCTGTTCAAGTGATTATGTGGTTTCTATTACTGATACAGTATTCATGTCCATCTTGGAGACTGCCTTGCCAATGAAACCAAAATTAAATAACAGAATATTATGGGTATTTAGCCAGGCATGGTGGTGTACAACAGTAGTCCTAGCTACTCTAGAGGCTGAAGCAGGAGGGTCACTTGAACCCAGGGTTTCAAGGCTTCTGCTGCAGTGAGCTGTGGTTGTACCAGTGTACTCCAGCCTGAGTGACAGAATGAGATCCCATCTCAAAACAAAAAAAAAGAGAGCGAAAAATAATTATGGGTGTTAAAGAATTTTACTAAAGACTTTAATTCTTATCCCAAAGTTATAAATGATACTTGAATTTCAGATTCTAAGCATAGACAGAGGAAGAATATTTCTAGGCAAAGAAGCCTTTCCACAATACTTGGTGTTAACCACAAGTGGCTGTCATTAAGAATGAACCATGCCACAGATGACAGTTCTCACCTCCATCCTCAACCCCAAATGGACTGGGGCTTCTCACCGGTCTCCTGGAAAGCCTTGGTCTCCTGAATCTCACTCTCGCACTGGTTCTGTAAGGGCTTCAGTGGGCTATTCAGAGACTTCAGTGCTCCTGTGGATGTCATTTCCTGCCAGACCATTTCTTGGCCATGAGCTGTGTCCTAGGAGTAATCAAGTACCAGCACTATCATTCTGAGGATACACAAGTAGAAAACTCCTAGAGCAACAGGGCAGCATAAGAAGAATCAAAACTCATTCAAATGATTACAGAAAAAAAAAATAGGACATAGCCCTAGTGACTTGCACCCAATGAGTGAATAATTTATAACCCAAAAGAAAGAAAACATGTAATTATCTGAGAGCTGAGTCAATGCCCCAATCACAATGGATTTCCCATTACTTACAATAGATCAAACAAACAAAAATGTCTACTTCTTACCTGTTGCCTTGGCTCATCAAGTTCTTTTTCCAACTCCTCCAGCATAGTCACGGCTTCCTCTCCATTCTCTGGCTGATGCTCTCGCACCCAAGCTTTCAGCTCCTCAGGAAGGATGGCCAGGAACTGCTCTAGCACCAGCAGCTCCAGGATCTGCTCCTTGGAGTGCACCTCTGGCCTCAACCACTGACAGCAAAGGTCTCGGAGCTGGCTCAGAGCTTCCCGAGGGCCAGTGGAGTCAGAGTAACTAAACTGCCTGAACTGCTGCCGTAATACCTCTTGGCTCCAGGAGTTTCCCTGAAGGCCAAAGTCCTGGCCCCAAACATAATTTTCTTCTTCAACCTTGACAACTAGAAGTCCTTCCTGTTCTTCTGGGGCACGGTAGGCCAAGACTGTGGCCTCTCCTGACATTCTGGGCAGAGACAGTCTGAAAAGCCTGCCCAGGTGAGGCAGGGAGGAGATAGAAATTTGCGTCTGAGAGATTCCTTCTGAATTCCAACTCTTCAGGATGCTCCTGAGGGTGAACAATGCTCCTGTTACACAGGGAAAATATGCACTTGGAATATAAATACAAGTTTTTGAAGTCCAGTTGCCAGGGAGCATAGCACTGTACAGAAAACTAACAGCAGGTTTCCACATAAATGATACATTTATAGATGATTTGGGATTTTTTTCAGGATGTGAAAGAGAAAGTGTGAGTACGGCCAAAATCAATTTGACCTTTAGTAATACTGTTAGGAAAAACATTCGGGCTAATAAAATAGTGCTTGTAGATTATAGAAAGCAAGAAAAACACTATAGCATATGATTACATATCAGAAATAACCACCATTTTATTGAGCACTAGCTGGATACTTAAAATAAATTTTATATGCTTTTCCTAACTCTGTAAGACAATCAAAATTATGCCCATTTTCCTAACGGGGCTACTGAAAGTCATAAGTTGACCAAAGACACACAGCCAGTGAGCAGCAGAACTGGGCTGCAACCAAAGTCTTTAGCTATTTCTATTATGTTAGGGGGCATCCCAAAAGAAGGGAACTCATACTTAATAAGCACCTACTATGGACCAGGCACTTTACAAATACTGTTTTACTGAAGCTTAACATTAACATCATAAGGTATTATCATCTCAATTTTACAAATGAGGAAACTAAGTTTCCTAAAGCCAAGTAATTTGTCCAAGCCTACAAACTGGTAAATAGCAAAGTCAAGACATAAACCCAGGTTGCTCAACTCTACAGCACTTGCTCTTTTTATTTATTTTTATTAGAAAATGGGTTGATGTCCAGGACAATGTTGGTGGATACCAAATTAGAAATGATGGTGAAATGTCAGGAAGGGACCATGGAGAATGGGCAAGGTCAATGTACAAACAAGGAAAAATTATTCTTGAGTCACAAGGTTCTGAAACAGCACAAAGAAAAATGGATTCTTTCAACAAATACTTGAGCATTTACTGTGTGCTATAAAGTGTATTAAAGAGAAGTCTCAGAATTAAAATATCTGTCCCAAATGACTCTTAGTTTAGTATTGGAAAGCAACAGGTAAACACAGTGATAAATCCAAGGACAGAGGTAAGTAGTCAAGGTAGCAGAAGGGAAAGATTGCTGACCAAGACCAAGGAGAGAGGGATGGGAAGAGCCAGAAAGAGCTGCCTGAAGACATCTCAGCAGAGTCTGATAACAGTGAGCTAAGTGAGATGGAGAGGAAGGTCACTCAGGCAAAGAGAACAGTAGGTATGAGAGAATGTAGCCCACTGAGAAAACTGATGGTAGTTTGGGGAGACCAGACTAATTGGTTGTCATTTCTGACTATGGCTCAAAATCAGCCATGGAACATAAATCCCAAGACAGACTTCCTGGATCAGAATCTCCATGGGTGGGGCTTTGATAAGTGCCACAAGAGCTTCTGATGAGCAGCCAGGTTACGAACCCTGCGCCAGAGCCTGAGCATAGTTAATGAATGGTGAGAGAGGAGGTCTAAGAGGTTGTGCTATAGAGTTTGCATTTGATCCCCACCGTCACAGTGATGGCTGGAAAGTCTCTGTGCCCACCCACAGAATGGTGTGGAGAAGACATGGGAAGGGGTTTGTTGCAACCATTCAGGAGAGAGACAGTGAGAGACTGAGCCATAGGAGGCAAAAGATAAAAAGATGGGTGATTTGACTGGACTTGACACACTGTATAAGGGTTTGGAAGGGAGAGGGGTTCAGGACTTAAGTTTGTGGCTGGCCCTGGTGGCTGGAGGATGATGGTGCTATTTGCTGAGCTATTCATTAAGAAAGTTAGATCTGAGATGCCTACAAAGCAGTGTTCCTAAATGGTGCTTTGCCAGATATTAATAAACTTTTCATACACATCTGACCACAAAAAACCTGGGGATATTTTTCCTTTTAATTTTTTAGTGTAAAATACTAGAGACCAAGCATGATGGCTCATGCCTATAATCCCAGCACTTTGGGAGGCCAAAGGCAGGAGGATCACTTGAGTCCAAGAGTTTGAGACCAGCCTGGGCAACATCATGAGATCCCATCCCCACAAAACATTTACAAATTAGCCAGGTGTAGTGGCACTCACCTGTGGTCCCAGCTACTCAGGAGGCTGAAGTGGGAGGATTGCTTAAGCCTGTGAGGTCGAGGCCACAGTAAGCATGATTGCTTTACTGAACTCCAGCCTGAGTGACAGTGTGAGACCCTGTCCCTATCCAAAAAAAAAAAAAGAAAAATACTAAACACATTTCTTTAGTTCTTATTAGACATTTAAGAAATTTCATATCTTTTTTTTTGAGACGGAGTCTCGCTCTGTCACCAGGCTGGAGTGCATTGGCTCAATCTTGGCTCACTGCAATCTCTACTTCCTGGGTTCGAGCCATTCTCCTGTTTCAGCCTCCAGAGTAGCTTGGATTACAGGTGTGTGCCACCACATCCAGCTAATTTTTGTATTTTTAGTAGAGACAGAGTTTCACCATGTTGGCCAGGATGGTCTCGATCTCTTGACCTCGTGATCCACCTGCCTCAGCCTAGCAAAGTGCTGGGATAACAGGCATGAGCCACCGTGCCCAGCCATTTCAAGGTATCTTACTCGGAGCAGAGTAATAGGAAAACAAAAGTTTTTTTAAAATAAAATTCTGTGACAATCAATGCATTGTCAGAGCTGTGCATGGATGTGTACACAGCATTTCTCAAGAGCTACATCACATTAATGTGCGTTCTTCACTTAGTGACCATTAGTCTATGTTGTGTCCCTTACCTTTTAATGTTTGTGATATTATTCAATTTTTAATGTAAATATTATGCCTCACCAGCTAATCCTCCATGGGTGTGTGGCTGAGGGAAGATCTTGGTCATAAAGACTCATCTCTGCTCCCTCCCCATCTCCTGCACAGGTTCACCCTCTGCTACTTCAGTCCATCAGGTGAACCCTAAGTCCTCTATTGTCACTCTCTACTTTCCTCCTAGGCAACTTCATTCTAACCTTTGGTTACCATTCAGTCTAGACCTCCTATCTGAGCTCCTGATCTATTTACCCACGGTTCCTCTCTCACATCATAACTATTCTTGAATTTCTCAAAAGGACCTCAAATTCGGTACATGCATAACCAACTCATGATTCTTCCCTGCTCCTCTCCCAGTGGTCCTTCTTAAGAAGTAGGAACATCCACTGGCTGCATACCCAGAAACATGGAAGCACCCCTAACATGGTCCTTTCCCCCACCTCCTTCCTTCCTTTAAATCCTGTTGATTTTATTTCCTCTTCCAGAATCTGCCCTTCCCCATCTCTGCCACCATCTTCATCCCAGTAACTATCCTGTCACACTGCACAAAAACTCACCAACTGGCTTCCCACATTCACTCAGTCCCCATCAGTCTGTTATCTACATTGTAACCAGAGTGATCTTTACACATTGTAAACCTGATCACATTCTTCTCACCAGTTTTTTAAAAGTAAAAACAAAAATCTTCCAACTAAGGTGAGCTTAGGTATAGCCCTTCCCTTTGGGAGAAAGTGAGTCCCGAGTCCTCATCCAAGCAACCCAGATGGAACCTTCTGGCCAATCCTGACTGCAGCAGCATCACTGTTATTATAATGTACCTGTATTACAATGTCATGTAACAGATAATGTATCTGATTGCTTACTTAATTGTAATAGAAAACGCTAATTGAGGCTTCATGGGAGTCAAGCCCTGTCTACCTGCTTTAAGTGTCTTATTTCATCTTCACAGCACTCTATAGTGTAAGTTCAACCATTCAACTGAAGACTATAGAGGTTACATAATTTGTTCCAGGTCATGTGCCTTGTAAGTGATGCAGTCTGGAATGCTCTGAAACCAAATAATCTGACTCCAGAGTCCTTATTCTGCTAAAATGCCTTTTCACATTTGGGCTCCGCACCTAATCAAAGAACCCTTCAGAAGAGGGCCTTTGTTTTCCTCACATTTAATATGAGTGCCTATTTGTGCAGGTATTTGTGCCAGGTGCTGAGCAAAGAGTTATAAAATAAGACAATGTTTTTGCCATTACAGAACTTAAAAACAGTAGGAAGAGGCAGACGTTAAACAGAAAGCATACATAATTACCTGACTTCACTGCGACCAAAACTACAAGGGGGAAGGCAGAAGCTGTTCTTAGAGTGACTGAGAAAGGATCTAGCCCAGATTCGGGGACCCAAGAGAAAGGCTGAGACCCAACTCAAAAGTGAGCTTTGACCGCGTGAGAAATGGCAGGAAGGAGCCTGCTGGCGCGTGTCCGACTCCTGAGCCTGCAGCCCGGCACAGGACGCGCTGGGTAAGTGCCTGAGGAGTCAGCTGACCGAAAAGGCGGGTGGTTCAATCGGCAAACGGATGGCCGGACTGACCCACCAAGCGGCGGGCGGAACCCCAGGTACAGCCAATGCCCAGCCTGTGGCCGAAGGGTCGAAGAAAGGCGGCGCGGAGGCCGGACGCGAGACAGTGGCGGTTTGGGAAGCACCCGGAACTGCCCTACTGGACCGCCCCACTCACTTTCGCTCTACCTGCTGCGGGAACCCACCCGCTGGAGAAACACAACATACTCTGCCGCCCGCGCGCCGGAAGTGGGGGCGGGCGCGCCCCTCTAGCTGCCCGGAAGACCGCAGCTCTGTGGCAGGCGCCGGTAGCGAGGAAGGGCGCAGACCCGGATCAGACCTGGCGCGGCCATCCCAGAGTCCAAACGGTTGATTCGCCGCTGAAAGGGCGGAGAGCAGAAGATACATATTCAATATCATTATATATTCGGTATAGATTTTAATATATAAAAATAATGCGTATATATTCAAACTTTTTTTTCTCCTTCTGTCGCAGGCTGGTATAGCATCGAGAAAATTTTAAACAGATAATCCTTGGTCTACATTTTGAGAGGAAAAGAAGCTGACCACGCTCACCACAGACATGCTGACTGCGATGACTACAGTCCTAAGAGCTGCGGGAGGGCTGGAGCGGGGACGGGTCCTGTCCTGGAAGGCCGAGGACGCCAGGCGCTGCTGAGGGGTTGGAGTGGAGTGCTGGGTGAGAGAAGCTTGTAAGAATTTCCTCAGGGACTCTGCCCTCGAGCTGCGCCTGGCCGCGTGCTGGTTGCTGACGCAGCCGGAGGAGCGCCACGGGTTTCCCGCGTAGGAAGTGGCAGGATCCTGGGCACAGCGGGGCGGGGTTCAGGGCACTCGGAATTGGCCCAGCATCTTGGCTGGCCAGAAACTAGGCTAAGGCGTTGGTTAGAGTGAGTTAGGTTGTGGAGTGTCAAATACCAGGCTCAGGTGTTAGAAATGCATTGAATCATCAGTGCACGCTATTCACATATAACATGGCTAGAACAGTATTCAGGGCAGTGTCTGTACCGTATAGAGTGGATTAAAGGGCAAAAGAGATGAAAGAATACAGGTGGCACGTGAATTTAGCAAAATGTAATATAGTTTGTGAAAATATTGAAAATGGGGCTGACATTGTAATAAAATCTGTGAAACTATGATTGAAAAAGGAATGACATCGCCATGGGAGGTCTTTTGGAAAATAAATGGGATTGTGCAAAAATACCGTTTTGGAATAGGGGGAGGAAAAGGAGTTAGAAGAGGAGCTAGCTGCTCAGGAAGCGCCCAGATGGTTCAAACGTCATAAAAGCTACGGTGTTTCAGGAGAGGTAACAGGTGACTAGCAGATGCTGCAGAGAGCCAGAAGAGGGTAAGAACTAAGCTGATGCTGGAATTAGGGGGAATGGCAGGAGGACCTTTGGACAGTCCTTTCCAGTGGTTCAGAGGAGTTGGTAGACTGAAAATAGACAATATTTGAGAACTCTGATACTGCAAGAAAGGAAAAAGGATACTGATTGAACTAAGCAAAAGAATTGAAAGTATTCTTTTTTAAAAGGGTAGTGGAGTCCTAATTAAATTTGTAGAAAAAAAGGGGTAAAGTTTAATAGGGACAAGAAATTGAAGATGGGAGAAAAGAGAGCCAGCTGATGGGGAGGGAATGAGACTAGATAGGCTGGTGAAGTTGTCTCAGAAAAGATGGGAGAGATTTGTTCCTGAATAGGAGGAAAATGGAGGATAAATGAGGACAGAAATACTGCAAGAGAGAAGTTGAAGATGTTTATGTCAGATGACTCTGACCACAAAGGTGTTAATCAGATGTTACATTTGAGCCAGACCTTGAAGAATGTCACAGCCAATGGCTGAAAGAGACAACTAAGTATTTCAAGTTGTGTTCTATATCTACTATCCAATATGGAAGCCATTAACCACATTTGGCTATGTGTAGAAAACAGCCTGTTTTCTACATGGCATGACAAGAGTAATGCCATCTTGAAGTGAAACCATCATAACAACCAGTGTTTCACTCTTGTATACCAAGGCATTCCCCCAGCAAGGTCAAGAAACATATCTCTAGGATAGGTAACTTCTCAAAAAGAAACAATACCTGTGGCATACAAAACCCCTCATAAAAATGCTTATCTAACTTTCTCACTCGTCAGTTTTGCAAGAGGATCTTAGACATGACTAGCTGCATATGTGTTTTACCAAAAAAAAAAAAAAAGCTTGCTATAGGAAGAATACTTTCTGCAGGGCAGGTATGGCAATCTATCATCTTAAGTCCCTACTAAATGTTTCTTTCTGAGAAGCTACATTTGTCAACTCAGCTACCTAAACCTTTGGGGGCAGGTTTACATATACTTGCTTACTTGATATATGGCTGATAGGAACATTTAAATTGCCACATGGGATTAGTGGTTCCATAGTGGACAGTGAAGCTAGCCTATACTGGTTAAAAACCCAATGAGTGAAATGAACCAAGTAAACACAGCAGATTTCTAATGAAGCAGATCAAATAATTAGTGGCCAAAAAAAAAAAAAAAAGACTATAAAATTGTCTTCTATGTAAAAAGTCCATAAGGTTTATACATAGAGCATACTCAATTTGTTCATTTCCGTAAAGGATCTAGCAACACAGTTTTTTATGTAAGTACCCAATTTCCCCATTTTTAATGAACAAATAAATACCAATACCTGCTAACACTGTGGGGTGGGGAGGGGAGAGTGATACATATCTAAGAAAATTAGTGACTTCAATAATAAACACTTCTCTATCATTTATTTTCTTTTAAAAAAATATATTAACATCTGAATAATACATGTATTTTAGATAAAGTACCAATTTTGGTCAATTAATTTTGACAAATATATCAATGAAAGATGTTAATATAAAGAAATGTATGTGAAGGTATATGGGATGTCTCTGTACTATCTATCTTTGCAATAATAGATAAATTGAATTTCTTTGGGAGGCCGAGGCAGGTGGATCACGAGGTCAAGAGATCGAGACCATCCTGGTCAACATGGTGAAACCCCGTCTCTACTAAAAATACAAAAAATTAGCTGGGCGTGGTGGCGCGTGCCTGTAATCCCAGCTACTCAGGAGGCTGAGGCGGGAGAATTGCCTGAATCCAGGAGGCGGAGGTTGCAGTGAGCCGAGATCGTGCCATTGCACTCCAGCCTGGGTAACAAGAGCGAAACTCCGTCTCAAAAAAAAAAAAAAAAAAATTGAATTTTAAAATATCTTAATAAAAAGAAGGCAGGAATGGGGGAACAGGGAACAAATATCTTTTCTATCCTTCTTTACTGTGGTGCTTCAATAAACTGTTAGACTTACACACTATATCCTCTGTATCTCTTACTTGCTTATTTTTATTTTTGTTTCTCATTTTCATATTTACCACCTATTTTCCAGATCACTAATTCTTTCTTCAGTGATAATGTGCTTTTAAATACATTTCTGTAATTGAATTTTTAAATTCAGAATTTCTCTTTTGTTCAAATTCATATTCATTTTATTTTACTTTATTTATTTTTTGAGACTGGGTCTTACTCTCTTGCCCAGACGAGTGCAGTGGCGTGGTGTCAGCACACTGCAACCTCCGCCTCCCAGGCTCAAGCCATTCTCCTGTCTCAGTCTCCTAAGTAGCTGGGATTACAGGCACAAGCCTCTGCTGCCTGGCTAATTTTTTGTATTTTTAGTAGAGACAGGTTTCACCATGTTGGCCAGGCTGGTCTTGAACTCCTCACCTCAAATGATGCATCAACCTCAGTCTCCCAAAGTGTTGGGATTAAGGCGTGAGCCATCGTGCCCAGCCCATATCCATCATTTTAGAAAGGTTTTTTTGTTTTTTTTTTTTGAGATGGAGTCTCACTCTGTGGCCCAGGCTGGAGTGCAGTGGTGTGATCTCGCCTCACTCCAATCTCAGCTTCCCAGGGTTCAAGCGATTCTTCTGCCTCAGCCTCCCAAGTAGCTGGTATTACAGGCGTGTGCCACTATGCCAAGTTAATTTTTGTATTTTTAGTAGAGATGGGGTGTCACCATGTTAGCCAGGCTGGTCTCAAACTCCTGACTTCAAATGATCTGCCCACTTTGGCCTCCCAGAGTGCTGGGATTACAGGTGTGAGCCACTGCATGCAGCCCATTTTAGAAATATTTTTATGGTAAAACACACATGCCATTAAATTTCCCATCTTAAACATTTTTAAGTGTACATTTCTGTATTAGTCCATTTTCACACTGCTGATAAAGACATACTCGAGACTGGGCAATTTACAAAAGAAAAAGGTTTAATTGGACTTACAGTTCCATATAGCTGGGGAGATCTCACAAACATGGTGGAAGGTGAAAGACGTGTCTCACATGACAGCAGCAAGAGGTAGAACGAGAGCCAAGCAAAATGGGTTTCCCATTATCAAACCATCACATCTCGAGTGAATTTTATAAAAGGTTTGCTCTTCTGTCATGTACTTAATATACTTGGTATTTGTTTTGTGTGCAGTTATGAGGCAGGGATCTAAAATAACTATTTCTAGATGAATAACTAATTATCTGTGAATCACTTATTGAATTGTACTTCTTATCCACACTGGTCTTCATGCCAGGTCACTCACCTACATTATTCATCTTTGAGCCCACACATAGTGTTGTGATGGAAATGGCTACAGGCTATTCCATCCATCTATAAAGTTAGCATAAGAATGATAAAGAATACATAAAGACTACAGGTCACTCAATATTCTTACCAAGCTTATGCTTTTCTAGTAAGCACACCTTTGCACAAAGTTTATTTCAAGCCATCTCCTCAATCATTAATTTACTCATTCCTTATTCTTAAATGATGATATAACCTCCTCCTTCCCAATGAATTGGAACCACCTCAGTTTCCCACTGACCTACCTGAGCTTGCAACCATTCTCTCCTACCATCTTAGTATAGAAGGGTCACTCATTCTTCCTCTTGTACCTTGGATCCCATCTCCTTCCTCATCAATCGTATGCTGTCAGCTGTTCATTTGCTCTCATGGATTCTTCCTGCTATCATTTACACATTACATATCTTTCCTATCTTAAAAGTTATCAAGCAAATAAACCATCCCTAAACTCCACTATTACCCTATTTCTCATTTTCTTTTATTCATAACTGACTTATTGAAGTTGGTCTATACTCTATTTCCAGATATCCCATTTTCTTCTCATGCTGGTTCTCTTCAAAGTTTGTTTTTTATCACAAAGAGGTGCTGGATTTTGTCAAATGCTCTCTCTGCATATTTTGTCCTTTTTTCTGTTGATATGGATTTGGTTGATTTTTAAACTGATGCTCAGATGCATTTCTGGGATAAATTCCACTTGGTCATGGTGTAAAATTTTTTATATGTTACTGAATTCAGTTTACTAGTATTTTGTCAAGAATAAGAGATATCCTGTAGTTTATGTTTCTTGTGATGTATTTGACTGATTTGGATATTTGGATATCAAAGTAATACTGGGGGAGAGTTTTTGAAGAACTGGTATTAGTTCATCGTTATGTTTGGTAGAATTCACCAGTGAAGCCCATGGGCTACTCCTGTGTGTGTTTTTTAAAATTGCTAATCAATCTCTTTGTTATATATCTATTCACGTTTTCTATTTCTTCTTTAGTCAGTTTTCTATCTCCATGGCATGTCAGAGACCTTCATGGCAGCCCCCTCCCATCACAGGCCTGAAGGCCTAGGAGGAAAAAATGGTTTTGTGGGTAGGGCCCAGGGATCCACTGCTGTGTGCAGGCTAGGGACTTGCTCTGTATCCTAGCTGCTCCAGCCATAGCTGAAAGGGGCCATGGAGTACAATGGTTTCGGAGAGTGCAAGCTGCAAGCATTGGCAGCTACCATGTGGTGTTGAGCCTGTGAGCACACAGACATCAAGAATTGAGGTTTGGGAACCTCCACCTGGATTTTAGAGGATGTATGAAACGCCTGGGTGTCCAGGCAAAAGTTTGCTACAGGGGCAGAGCCCTCATGGAGAATCTCTGCTAGAGCAGTGTGGAAGGGAAATGTGGAGTCAGGGTCCCCACACAGAGTTCCCACTGAGGCACTGCCTAGTGGAGCTGTGAGAAGAGGGCCATTGTCCTCCAGACTCCAGAATGTTAGATCCACTGAAAGCTTGCACATGCACCTGGAAAAGCCACAGACAATCAACGCTAGCCCGTGAAAGCAGCCAGGAGGGATGCTGTACCCTGCAAAGCCACAGGGGCAGAGCTGCCCATCACCATGGGAGCCAACCTCTTACATCAGTGTGCCCTGGATGTGAGACATTAAGTCAAAGGAGATCATTCCAGAGCTTTAAGATTTGACTGCCCCACTGGATTTCAGACATACATGGAACCTGTAGCTTCTCTGTTTTGGCCAATTTCTCCCACTTGGAATAGGTGTATTTACCTGGTGTCCATATCTCCATCATCTCTAGGAAGTAACTAACTTGCTTCTGATTTTACAGGTTCATAGGCAGAAGGGATTTGCCTTGTTGCAGATGAGACTTCAGATTTGAACTTTTGGGTTAATGCTGGAATGAGCTAAGAGTTTGGGGGACTGTTGGAAAGTTTTGAAATGTGAGAACATGAGATTTGGGAAGGGCCAGGGGCAAAATGATATGATTTGGCTGTGTCACCACCCAAATTGCATCTTGAATTGTAGGTGCCCATAATCCCCACATAGTGTGGGAGAAACCTGATAGGAGGTAACTGAATCACAAGGGCAGCTACCTCCATGCCATTCTCATGACAGTGAGTTCTCACAAGATTTGATGGTTTTATAAGGGGCTTTTCCACTTTTGCTTGGCACTTCTCCTTCCTGCCACCATGTAGATTTCTCGAAGTCTCCTCAGCCAAGCTGAACTGTTTGTCAATCAAATCTCCTTCCTTTATAAATTACCCAGTCTCAGGTATGTCTTTTTTTTTTTTTTTTAACAGAGTCTTGCTCTGTCAACAGGCTGGTGCAGTGCATGATCTTGGCTATGGCAACCTCCAACTCCCTGGTTCAAGTGATTCTCCTGCCTCAGCCTCCCAAGCAGCTGGCATTACAGGCACATGCCACCACGACAGGTTAATTTTTGCATTTTTAGTAGACACAGATTTTCACCATGTTGGCCAGAATGGGCTCGATCTCCTGATCTCATGATCTGCCCACCTCGGCTTCCCAAAGTGCTAGGATTACAGGTGTGAGCCACCATGCCTGGCCCTCAGGTATGTCTTTATTAGCAGTATGAGAAGAGACCAATACAGTAGGCTATACCATCTAGGTTTGTGTATGTACACTCCATGATGTTCGCACAAAAACAAAAGCACCTAATGATGCGTTTCTCAGAATGTATCCTGATCATTAAGCAAAAGATGACTACTTCCTTCCTTCTGCTGTTCTGCTGTTGTTGTGTTTAAGTTTGCTCTCATTTTTAAAGTTTCTTAAGGTGGAAGCTTAGGTTTAGATTATTTTTCTTCTTTTCTAATATAGACATATTAGAGCTATAAATTTTCCTCTAACCATTGCTTTTCCAGCATCCCATAAAATATTATGTTGTATTTCACTTTTATTCAGTTTAAAGAATTTTCTAATTTCTCTTATGATTTCTTCTTTGGATCTTGGGTTATTTACATTATGTTATTTAATTTCTGAATATTTATGGGATTCTCAAATTATGCTTACTCAATATGCCCTCTGGGTCAGCAGAACTTTCACTCTCCTCAACCTCTTGGTCTAGAGACCCTACTGGCCCTAGCCTCTGGCCCTGCCATATCTGCCCT